TCTTAATTGTTGGCAGTGTGATGGGAGGGGCCATGCGTGTTTATTTATCTATGTATGTATCAATCTAGGGTATCCTTCTCTTCTTATTTATTTATTTTACTTTTTTGCCTTTTTTTTTTCGTTGTTTGTTTTTTTGTTCTTTGTTTTGATAGAGATGATTTTGTTTGTTTGTTTTTCTTCTTCTTTCATTGTTTACTTTCTTTTTCTTTTCTATTCCTATTTACTTATCATCCTTCTTCCTATATCCATTTATTTATCTATCTATACCTATATATATATATATATATATATATACGGGTATGGGTATATTGATTGGGAAGTATGAGAGAAAAGAAGGAGTCATTAAAGGCGTCCAGTTGATTATTCGCCTTTTATTTTGTTTTTCATTTCTTTTCTTTTGTTTTTGTTTTTGTTTGTTTCTTATCAGAAATGATAAACAGTATTGATTCTTACTTCACAAGTAGAGATATATGAATGAAAAGAAGAAAACACACCAAAAAAAAAAGCAAAAAAATATTTCATAAATGTACAAAAAAGAAAAAAGAAAAGAAATACATAAGAATCACACTCTTTTATTATTACTATCACTATTACTATTACTATTAAAAAAAAAAAAAAACTATTATTATTGTTGCTGTTATTTGTTGTTGAGACTATACTCTGAGTTCACAACATTAATAACAATAACAGTAACAGCAACAACAGTGGAAATGATCATTTTTGACTTTCATTCATTCATCCATTTTCTTTTTTTTTTTTTCTTTTTTTTTTTCTTCTTTTCTTGGTCTCCCCCTTATTCAAAATAAATATAAATTTCTCTTTCTTTTTCTCTCTCTCTCTCTCTCTCTGTTTCTTTATGTACTTTACTTTACTGTACCTGTTCTTTAACCTCATGTAATCTTTTCTCCTTCTCTTCGTTTGTTTCTATTTTTATTGATTTTTTTTCCTCTTTTTTCTCTCCACCACTGTGGGAATCAAGAGAAAAAGGAAATATAAATAAAAGAAAAAAAAAACAGTTAGACCCAACACCCTCACACTCACACACACACACACAAACACAGAGCTTATACATATATATATATATATATA